GATATCATAAATATGCGTTTTCGGAGAAGAAAGAACTTGGAACGACAGATGGGTGTGGAGCGACATTCAACAGGATCTGATTTCGAACCGTTGGCGGAAGTGTGTTGTCGTCTGGTCCTGCATGATGAAGAAGAGGTAGAAGAGGCGGAAGGTAATTACATTTCCCCGGTGTTGCAGCATACTCAACAGATTAGTGCGCAACAGACAACAACTACTGGTAATGAACAAGTGAATTTTTCCGTACATTCGGTGTTGCGAAATCTCCCTCAAGTTTGGCGACAGAATCGGGATGAAAAGGAAGTAAATTTTCAATACACCGATACTTGATTTTTATTTGATAGACATCTATATATTTTTACAAAGTAATTGAAAAGACTTATCATTTTCTCAGGGAGTTAAAAAGAAGGGGCTTGTAGAATGGATCGAAATTTTTCTATTCTGCTTAATGTCTGCAATAATAGACTAGTAAGTAAGTATCTTATATTAGCAGTAGTATCTTAGACCTGATAGACTTTTCATATAGTGTGTACATTTTGCCCAGTTTTAGAGGTTTTGGAGCGAAAAGAGTTTCAGTTGTCAGCTTTGTTATATCAGGTGTCTTTGATATATAAATACCATCGTAAATTTTACTGATTAGATAGTTATGAATAAATTAGAGTTTTATCACTTATAATGATATTGCCAGTGGTTGACAAACGTTCAACAGTGGCTAACATTCACGTGTGTCAAGTTGGAGTTTGTAGTATTCATACCCACCGGTGTGACCACCAGTACTCTAGTTCTGGTCAACATAGATACGGGTCTGATAGAATATAGGTCGGAAAGGATGGTTCAAAGATACCCTCTCCCTACCCAAGTTAGGTATTAGTGTCACTCTCTCTAGTAGGCTAGGAAGCTTTGCATTTCACCCTTAGAGTGTAGCGGATTGCTACCTTAGTAAAGCCTGACTGACTCAGAAATCTTTATGGCAGATTCTCTAACATCTAGCTAGACCGACTCAGAAATCTCCATGGCAGATTCTCAAACATCTAGCTACCGGCTCAGAAATTTCTATGGCAGATTCTCCAACATCTAGCTAGGAATCAGAAATCTCTATGGCAGATTCTCCAACCTCTAGCTAGAGAACAGCTAAGCTATAGCTCAGCTATAAAGAAAACAGACGTGTAGCACGGAGCGCGTTTATATCTGTGGCAGATTCTCCTACATCTAGCTAGACTCCCAGAACGGCAGATTCTCCAACGTCTAGCTAGACTCCCAGAACCAGCGCTATAGCCCAGCTATAAAGGAAACAGACGTGTAGCACGGCACGTTTATTCAGGACGTATATTGCGGATCAAGTGTACCCGAACGTTTATTCAGTAAGTATATTGCAGAAAAAGTGTGTACACGCAGGGAGCTACTCATGATCAGGGTGGAGGATTAGGTTAAACAGAGGTTGATGATTGGTCACTGTTTGTACGGTCGCTACACACAGAGTTCTAGTGATTGGCCACTGTTTGTACGGTCGCTGCACACAGAGTTGCACGGCCGCACCTCCCAATCCTGGCGAGCAGACATGCAGGCAGATGACGCACACAGCGATAACGTGTCCCACAAGGTAGATATAATGACGCACAGAGCGATAACGTGTCTCACAAGAGAAAGAAGGAAGAAAGGGAGGTAATTTTACCATTCACTTTAATATAGAGGACGTATTTATAATCATGATCGCAAAGCTCTTTACAAAATTTCAAACCGGTAAATCATTATGATAGTGTATTTAACATATACAACTACAGCATTATTTTCTTGAACATTAATACATCTAAAAGACCAAAAGCGTATCTTTGATTTCCTGATAAAATTGGCAAATGCAATTCTCGAATCGATAATCCAACGGATAACTCCATTAGTGATTATAATGATATTCCCTTTTAAAAAACTAGTTGTTTATCTTCAGAGACGCGTTGGAAGAATGGTCCCTTATGATTCACATTCCAACTGTCATGTCTATGCGTGTCCTTTTTTATATTTGTCTATTTATTATAAAACTGATTACCCACATCTAATCTCAATTGTGTACTTGATTATGGTAACATTTACCCAAGAGCCTCCAATAAATTGTCGTTGTATTTCTGAGCGAAATTTCTGATGCTTGTAAACTGCCCAGTTCTGGACCATCTCTGCTCACTATTATACAGTATACCTCACAACTCATTCGACTTTTTAAGGAAATTCGATAGCACGCTTATAGCTGTTACTTATAGTTCAGTCTCCTATAACTTCGCAATCTAGACTCTTTCCATCCCCAACAAGTTCATGTATTTTTTTAAAAAAAGTGGAAAGCGATTGCGTATATTTTTTCAATCTCGTGGAAATGGAAAAAAACTGAAATAGGAAAGCACAATTAAATAATCACAGCACAGGTGGGCAAAACTAGAGTACAGTGGTAGGTATATATTTTAAATACATTAGATGCAGGGGGATGGAGGGTTCGTTGTTATTGAAACCATCAAGACATTTCGATTGCATTTAGAATAAGGTTTGTGGCTGATTTAGACACTCAAATGCAGTAATAGGAGATAAATTTATTTTCCATTCAGTCAAATAGTATTTAAAGATTTGACAGGCATTTAAATAACAAGGAAAAAATAGAAACTTGTTTGACTTGAATGAGTGTTTTATATATTCGAAGCAATAATAATAACCTAAATCGTA